GGCTTCATCTTTATTGTTATTACCATGGTAGTTTTTAAGACACCGGCCTTATTTTTATTGTTATTACAATGGTAGTCTTTAAGACACCGGCTTCATCTTTATTGTTATTACAATGTTAGTCTTTAAGACACCAGCTTCATCTTTATTGTCATTACAATGGTAGTTTTTAAGACACCGGCCTTATTTTTATTGTTATTACAATGGTAGTCTTTAAGACACCGGCTTCATCTTTATTGTCATTACAATGGTAGTTTTTAAGACACCGGCCTTATTTTTATTGTTATTACAATGGTAGTCGTTAAGACACCGGCTTCATCTTTATTGTTATTACAATGGTAGTTTCTAAGACACCGGCTTCATCTTTATTGTTATTACCAAAATGTTACTGTTAGTTTTAAACAGTGTTGTTGGTTTTAAACAATGTTACTGTTAGTTTTGGGAAGAATGTTGTTATGAGTTTTAAACAGTGTTGTTATGAGTTTTAAACAATGTTATTGTGCGTTTTAAACAATGTGCTATCAGTACTGAACAATATTGTTGTGGGTTTTGAACAATGTTGCCGTGGGTTTTAGTGTGACAGCTCTGAAGTTGGTTCTTCGCCCCCCAACCCCTTACCACGGCATTAAATCACATATAACCCTCAATGTCGAAGCAAGATTATAGCTTATGCATTATGCAACACTTAACCTCTAAAAGTTGGTTTAACCTTTAAATTACCAATCCCAAAGTTTAGGAGGTGGAAAAAATCTTCAAATTATTGAAACATCCTTCTAAAACATTAAAGGTTCTGCAAAACAAGCTTTAAGAGACAAAACAAACAAACTTTTTAATACACACAAATAAACGAACGAATTATCTAATTCTTAGCCCACGAAAAAAAAAATGTAGGTGTCGCCTTCAAAACATGTAATTGTCATTCCCCTTAATCACGTGACTATCGTTAATCAACAGGAAACACAGCAGGGTATATTAACACGTGTGTAACATGTTATCATTACCAGAAAATTAATTTTAACGTTGGATTTGGACTGATTTGGTTCGCTCTGAAAGTGAAGGGTGTAAAAACCAATATCTTTTGTGCGATTCTACACAGAGCTTCAAAAACTGTTATTTTACTGCACTCTCTAACCTAGACCGAGGAAACGATAGATGTTTATCGTAATAAGTTTGAAAGGATAAAAATACTTGGATTTCATCAGATTTCCTACATACCAATAAATGAACGCGCAGGAATTTGTTGTGTCTACTAGCCCTCCACGATAGATATATGATGACAATCAGCAAGCTACGAGCGTTAGAACGAAAATGTTACTATAGTACACATTGGTTAGATCTATGTCTGAAGCAGCGCTTCTGCGCGTGACAGGGATGAGAATGTTGTGCTTTAAAGTCTTTAAGCTGTTTGGAGAAAATGCTTTTAGTTAGAACAACAATATCAACGTCGTTTAAAGACGTCTAAAGCAAATAAACACCACTTATAGATAGTCTGCATTCACACGCTAGCGTGATGTTCACTCATCACGGGATTCCCACACATTGACAAGCTGTTCACTCATCACGGGATTCATACACATTAACAAGCCGTTCACTCAGAGAATGCTACCATGGTGATAATTCTATATATTTCGTTTAACATTCTACTAGTGGTATAGAATAGTTCAGCATTATATACTACACAAAGAGCTCAGCCAACCAACTAGGGTTAGGACTAATGACAGAACTTGAAATTCCAGTTCTCGGATGATACAAATATTCAACACGAGAAAATACGTTCTATTTGGTGGGAAAGAGATCGTTTCTTGAAGTTGTGTGGTGGTAATTCATACCATCTTGTAGTTGTATGGTGGTAATTCATACCATCTTGTAGTTGTATGGTGGTAATTCATACCATCTTGTAGCTGTATGGTGGTAAGTCATACCATGTGGTAGCTGTATGGTGGTAATTCATACAATGTGGTAGTTGTATGGTGTTAATTCATACCATCTTGTAGTTGTGTGGTGGTAATTCATACCATGTGGTAGTTGTATGGTGGTAATTCATACCATCTTGTAGTTGTATGGTGGTAATTCATACCATGTGGTAGTTGTATGGTGGTAATTCATACCATCTGGTAGTTGTATGGTGGTAATTCATACCATCTTGTAGTTGTATGGTGGTAATTCATACCATCTTGTAGTTGTATGGTGATAATTCATACCATCTTGTAGTTGTAAGGTGGTAATTCATACCATGTGGTAGCTGTATGGTGGTAATTCATACCATGTGGTAGTTGTATGGTGGTAATTCATACAATGTGGTAGTTGTACGGTGGTAATTCATACCATGTGGTAGTTGTATGGTGGTAATTCATACCATGTGGTAGTTGTATGGTGGTAAGTCATACCATCTGGTAGTTGTATGGTGGTAATTCATACCATCTGGTAGTTGTATGGTGGTAATTCATACCATCTTGTAGTTGTATGGTGGTAATTCATACCATGTGGTAGTTGTATGGTGGTAATTCATACCATCTTGTAGTTGTTTGGTGGTAATTCATACCATCTGGTAGTTTTATGGTGGTAAGTCATACCATGTGGTAGTTGTATGGTGGTAAGTCATACAATGTGGTAGTTGTATGGTAGTAATTCATACCATCTTGTAGTTGTATGGTGGTAAGTCATACCATCTTGTAGTTGTATGGTGGTAATTCATACTATGTGGTAGTTGTACGGTGGTAATTCATACCATCTTGTAGTTGTATGGAAATGTCTTTTGTTTGTTCTGTTGTTAACTTGATATATGACAAAATAAATAATATTAATTCACTACTTGCCTTTCTTGACTTGACAGTTTCATAACTTCGTATGGAACACTACTTGAAATATAAAACAACAGTTTCATTAACACTAGCTTTTTTTTATTAATTTAAATAATTCTTGGATGAACATAACCGTTATCTTTTAAAGTCAGGCGAGAACGCTGTCTCCCACGTGTGTATGTCATGTAAGCCCCCATCGTGGCCTGTAGCTTTTATCGATCTCACGTCAGATAGATAAGATTAATCGTTTCACTTTCTTCGTAACACATCATTATAACATACACTTGAAAGATACTGGAACTAAAACGTACCAATGTCGTATCCAATGCTCCAGCTAAATCCATCTGATAGAAACGAATATGGCAGAAAAAATAAGACCTATTGCA